TGAGGATAAGTTTACAGTAATTCAAGTTACAGTAGCTATGAAGATAAGTCCACAGTAACTCAAATTATAGTAACTCGCTATAGGGATAAATTTACAGTAACTTGCTATGATACTTTCATAGCAATAACAAAAATTTATACTTTTTTTTTCGCTCTAATTGTTCGTTTTGGAGACGATTTCCTCAATTAGCGTGACTGTATTTATAGATACCGACACGAACAGATATATATATTTTTTAACCTGTACATATATACATACATACATACATACATACCTTGTTGTTGCTGTTTATTGTAAACATTTTTAAATAAGTCTAATTCTAAAAAAAGCTTTTATTTAAAAATGGAATCGAAATTTTTTCAAAAATCATTTCTTCAAGACATTTTAACTTTAAAACAAAATAAAAAAAGATTTGGAAAAAAAGAAAAAGAAAACGGAGGAAAAAGCCAACAGCCAAAATGTAAGAAGCGAAACGAATAGTGTACAGCTTTCATTCATTTACAGAGAAAATGAAAAATTTAGCTTCGAAAATAATAAATTTTGCGTTGAAATAAGACGAAACAAATTCGATGTTGTCAATGTTTGTGTGGCTTCTCTCTTTGCCTATTGCCTTTTATTGCTAATCAATCTTTTCCTACAATTTTTGAACCTTTTTTTTTGAAACAAAAATATGGAGAAAAAAGAACAAAAAGAGAGACAGAGAGAGAGAGGGAAAGAAAAAACAAACAGTAATAGCCCCAACAAAGAACAACAATAAACATTAAGCTTATATAAATGTTCTCAATGTTTTCTCAGTGTAATAGATTGCTAAAGATGAAATCAGTGAAAATATGCTCAAGTATGCCTTTTTTTTAAAATCGAACTCTTGGTAGTATAATGACTAATGGTGTTACGTGGTTACAAAGATTGGAAGAAAGTATCAGCAATAATGATGATATGATAATAATGGTAGAAAATTCATTCAGTTCATTTCAGTAAATTTTAATTTCGATTAGGGAAAATAAAAAATCATTTTCCAGATAGTTCCTCTATATTGTATCACCATATGGTTCTGTTCGTCATTTATACATATTAAGAATGAATTCTCGTCCGTTTGTTATTAGCAATAACAGCAAAGAGGTATATGATGAGTCAAAAAAAAAGATTGAAAAAAAGATAATGTCGCGCTATGATAAGTATTCTTCCCGCCAGACGGAAAATTTGAATATTCGAAACGAAACTATAAAATCAAAATTTGAAATGATCAGAAAATGATTCCCACCCAGTTTACCGCTACGATATTTTATTTTTTTGCTTATCAAGTATTTCATTTTTTGGCAAAATTTTATTTTATACATATGTTATTTCCTTGATATCAACAAACAATAGTTGTTAGCTGCAATGGAGTGAACAGTACCATTCCTTGATCCTGTATCGTTCCAATATCATTCCAGCATTGTAAGTTCACCCATTCGCTTAAAAGTACACAAATGCTTAATATCAATATCAGTCAATTCAGCTGTAAGACTTTATCCATCATTCCTATTTGGAATGATATTAAGCTTACAAACATCCTTTTATATCAGACAAAACTTATAACACGAATGAGAATTTCCGGACCGAAAACTGCTGGCGGTTCCATTCTTAGCTAGGGAGATTTACATATATTCACACTAAAGTGAAATCACTTTTTACGCAATTTCAAATATCTTATCCATTTCCATCTCATATTATTTATGCAATAAACTTTTATTGATACAATAAAAATACATTTTAAATACACTCGAACACTTTTAATTTTGATGCTAAAATTTGGAACGAATACGAGAGAACGATGAACAATCAATAGCAGGATGATATGGTTGATCATGCAAAAAATTTTTTGCATCGACAGCCATGAATATAATGCACACACATACACACACACATACACACACACACAC